TTAAAATTATATATATCTATTTTTAATTTTTAATTTTAGTTTTCAATTGTTAATTTTGATTGTTCAAACTTCAAAAATTAAAACCAAAAATCATATTGATACTAAACAGAGCTTAAGAATTTGGAACAATTCATATACTATTAATCTTAAGTGTTTGTTTGGATAAAAATTAGTAAAAGAAGATGAAGGAAAAAGAAGTAAAGGGAAGAAAAAAATTGATGTTAATTTTGTTTAAATAGATAAAAGTAAAGGAAAGAGAAGAATAATATTTTTAATTAATTAAATAATTTAAAGAAAAATAACATAAAATGGAATAAAATTTTTAAAATTCACTAATTAAAAATAAATTGAAATAAAATACTTTCATATATTTATTTTAAAAGAATAAAAAAATTAAGTGTAAAAAACCTAATTCTTTGTAATCTTTTTGATTTGAAAAGATGAAAAACAAAAGAATAAAGGGATTCTATTGGGCTCTATCTCCCTCCTCCTCTACGAAAATAAGTAACCTAAACACCTAGGGAAGATATCCTTCTCTCGTTCTCCCTTCCTTCCCTTCCAAATTCCACAATTTAAATGAAGTATAAGAAAGAGATATAAATATAAGGAGGAAATTTTGGTGATAAAATAGATAATTAAAATTAAGAAATAATTATATGATAAATGTAAAAATTATTTGTCCGCACAGTGCCCTTATACATCAGCAACAAAAGACCAAAACACCCCAGATAAATATTCCGTAAGTGGTCCGGCTCCGGACTGCCTCAACTGCCGAAGCTAGAGATAGGGACTACAGTGAAACAAAAAAAGAAAGAGAAAGAAAAACGCTTCTCTCTTCCATTCCAGCCACCATTTAAGACCAAAGCCCCATGCGTGATTAATAAGCTATTTCCTTCGTCTTCACTCCACCACCACCCTAACCAAACCAAACCCTAGATCTTTTATTACTCCTCTCGACACTTCCCCCGTGCTCTCTCTGCACGTATAATCAAAGACCCATTTTCAGATCTGACTCATATTGTCCAATCCCATTTCAAGTTCCCATTTTTACAACGATCAATTTCTGTGTTGTCATTGCCCACAACAAATTCTAATCTCTTCAGATAACCCACTTGTTGGTTTTGATTCTAATTCTGGAAAGGAATTATATATTTTCTGGGTTAATTTGGTTGATTTTGCTTATGATTATATGGGATCTCATTGAATTTTGTGGATTTTGGATTTGTTGCTGGGGTTATTTAGATCTGGGTTTGGGATTTGGCCTTGTATTAGTTGGGTGTGTGTGATTACGTTGCGTGCTTTTTTTATGACAATGCAATCTGGGAATGTGGTTCTATCAGACACAATGCAGTTACCTACGGTTGCCGGTTCTGGTGGCGGTGGGTTCAGTGGGGGCGGCAGTGGCAGTGGAGAGATCCATCCGCTGCAACCTTGCCAGTGGTTCTTTGATGAGCGCGACATCTTCATTTCGTGGTTGCGTGGGGAATTCGCAGCTGCTAATGCGATTATTGACTCCGTCTGTTCTCATTTGCGCACTATAGGAGAACCGGGAGAATACGATGCAGTGTTGGCCTGCATTCAGCAGAGGAGGAGCAATTGGAGCCCGGTGTTGCATCTCCAACAGTATTATTCTGTGGCTGAAGTTACCCACGCACTGCATCAGGCTGGTTTTAAGAGGCAACAGACGCAGAGGCATTTTGATCAGGTGAAAGGTGGAGGTAAGGAGCTTAGGAGAACTGGAATGGGGTTTAAGAAAGGGCAGAGGTTTGAGGTGGCGAAAGAAATACAGAATTCTGGAGTAGAAGGTGGTGAGAATTCTTCTGGCGTTTTGGTTTCAGAGTTAAAGTCTGCAGAGGGCGAAAAGGGTCAGTGCTTGGTCTATGTTTCTCTTAGTATGTTTACATGCATCATGGATAATGTTAGATTAGTTAGTGAAGAAGCTTGTTATGTTGGTAACGTTGGTTTATGGTTGGCGGTAGAGATTATTGAAATTTGTAATTCTGATTTATTTTAAGTTGATATTAATGACATGGGAACACTCATTTGTCATTTGTAGAGCATATGATTGTCCTAGATATTCTTTTTCTTGGATCATTTTCATAACAGGAAAGGAGCCTTTTGTTTTGGCAATTTCTTGATGTTTTTGGAAGTTTAAAGTAAGCTTTGCTATTTGGAAATTGCAATCATGTTCATTTTCATTTATTGTGTCTCAACCTTATTTCAAGCAAAAGAATTTATAGCACCAAATCAATGGTGGAATAATTTTTTTTAATGGTTGGAATATGCTTTATGTAACAATTTATTTTCATCTGACAGATACACGGTTGGAGATGAAAATTCACTCATAAGCTTTCAATAGTATATCCACAATGACAATACATTTTACTCAAATACTAATTCTGATACAATTTGTATATTTGAGAAGTAATTTAATATTTTTGGTGATCATTTATATGGATATAGAATTAGTCAGGTGAAAGGACATCTCTCCACATTGTCTGGCTAATTGTCATTGAAGCTCTGTTTTGGAATGCATCAATATCATCCTTGTCTGTGCAAAAGGCTAACATTCTACTCCTTGCTTTAACCATGGAAATGCCTCTATAAACCTTTTCTATTTTTCTATGATAACCTGTTGGCTTTCTCCAATAATGATTTTAAGTTTCCTCATGATGAGATTTCTTAAATAAACTTTTCTGTTTCTATTGTTTCTTGTCTATGCTACACTGGACGGTCATTTAATGTTTTGGAATTGTAATTTGACATCTAATGGATTGATATTATGTCCATGCTTCAATATATGCAGTGCTTTCAATATATGCAGTGAGATTAATGTTTGTTTCTTATTTAAACAGATGCTACTTCAAAACCTAGCTGCTTGAAGAAAGTAGGAAGTTTGAAAGGATCTTTATCTGGCAACGAAGCTGTGTCTGAAGTGGTAAACGATGGATACCCTTCAAGCTGTAAAGGTATATTCTTTTCCATGGACAGTGAGGCTGCTTTTAGGTCTTAGAAACATTCTGCAAGGTGAGGCGAAAAATATGAATTTTTTTTTTTCTTTGGACTGTATCTGAATGGGTATATATCAATTTGTTTTGTTTTTGTTTATATAGAGTTTTGTATATACAGTGATTGGATATTCATGCAACTGCAACATAGTTCTGTGGGGCCGTTAGGGTAAAATAAAGGGATTGTGCAACTTGGGTTTTGGTTCATTAGTGATTGGATATTTTAATTTAATGCCAAGGCTTGTAGTTATAATTTTTCTCTTGGGAGGGAACAAATAAACAATAAATAGTGTGGAAATTTAAGTTTTTTGGCAACTCAGCTGATACCAAGTGATGCCAACCCTAGGACTTTGTTTGGATTGGCTGCTTGAAAGCTTCTAAGGTAATTTCAATTAGCATAATTAAAAATAAGCAATTTGAAATCCTTAGTTTGTCAAAGTTGCTCTTTCTATAAATGTTCATAGAAGAGCTCTAACACGATGACTTTTTGCCTGCTGCTGTTAATTGGGCAGAGCTATTAAAATGATATTTTTGTGGTAAGCCTACCATCACCCTCTTCAGTGAACTCTACTACAATCTAAAAGAGCTACCAAAAGTCTCTTACCAGGACCAGCCACATAAATCATCTTGAAAGGCAAGACACACCTAAAAATACAACCTGAATCATGAAATGTAAGCTTGAACAGCCTCAAACCACTGCATAAGGTGATGCAAAACAAGTAATAAAGTTAAGAAGGGTTGAGATTGATGGCAAGGGAATACAATAAGTTTGCATAGGGAAAAAGAAATTAATTAAAAGAAAATCATGGCTGACATGATGCATGTAGAGAGAGAATCTATCCTAAAATTAAATTCTGCTGCAAATGCCTCATTCAAATAGACTTGGTCATGCACCATTTGTTCACTTCAGATGTAACTTTTTTCTTTCAGTTAACTCTGTAATATCTGTTGATCTGAGGCATATTAACTTTTTGATTGAAATTTCCTCTGTCGCACATTTAGTTTACCAGTGTTTTTTTATGTTGATATTCTTTTTTCTTTTTCTTTTCTTTT